GTTCAGGAACACATTTCAGACAGACTCAACTACAGATTCCTGTGGCACGTGCTTGTGCCTTGAGGCACTACGATACAAGTTGGAAGACCGCGGGTTCCATTCCCAATTAGGTTACTGGATTTCTTAGTTGACCTAATCCTTATAGCCGCACTATGGCCTTGGGGTCGACTCAGCCTCTAACAGAGACCAGGAGTATCAGGAATCTTCCTGGGAGTAAAGGGCGGTCGCGCGAGTGAGCCTTACAATCTCACCGCCATTTGTATGCCGATTGTCTAGAAAATGGTAGTATCCTCTGTCGTCAGCTCTAGATCGCATTAAGTGGAGGAATTGTTTTGGAAGAGACTGTGGACCTGTCGTCTTGACAGATTACTGATGATGATGATGATGATGATGATGTCTAGAAAATGTGGGAACATTAATGTCTCAGAAACCTAAGGCCCTCTACTGCCTGTTAGAGGGATATTTTAGTCTTTTTTATTTTACGTACGTGTACTTGAAGTTCTTTGCGTGGTAGACATTTCAGAAGATAGTTCAATGCCCTCCTTAAAATATAGCTCAATGCCAGTTTATTGTCATTACAAGAAATATTTCTACCATTCGGTAATAATTTACTTCCTGCTTATAAGTGTTACGAAGAATTATGAAGACAATTCAATTGTTGGCCATGTCGACTAATTACTTCTTAGGCAGATTACCGAGAACAATTCAGTGGTAGATTTTCAATCTAATGTCAATTTACATTATCACAAGTATATTATCATATCACTGTTAGAAACGTATTTCACCATTGTCATCGTCTCCCAGATTGGTTTCTTTCCTTTAGACAGATTTCCTATCGTGGTTAGGGAGTCACATCTACTGGCCATGTTACCTTGGGAAGGGGCGCTTACCAGGCGCCATCCACCCCGCCAGTGGGCCCTGACGTCACTCCCTGCAGTTTGAATGTCTGCTCTGGAAGTTCTGACTTTCTACCTAAGTGACATGAGTTCAAAGATCTGAGGTTCTTACAGCGGTGATTGCGAACATTTCTGTTGAATGTCTTCCGACGTTTCGGAGGAACATCTCTGCTCCATCTTCATGGTTGAGCTCTGTTTGCCACCTGCTCGCAAACCGATTTCTTGATCTCTCTATTTTGGACCCTGAAGATGAAGGCAACATGTTCCTCCGAAAAATCTATTGACTTTCAGTGGACTACATGGCACTATACCAGAAGACAGAAATCTTCTTTAGTTCAAGGACTTCAGATAATAGCTTATATACCTACATCATCATACATCACGGTCAGACTAGATTACTGATTGAATGACCAAACAATTGGTGTTCGATTCCGGGGTGGACAAGAGATACATCCCTCCTGCATAGCAACTACCGTGACCTTGGCACCCACCCGGAGTAACGTTGGCTATTTTGCCCGAAACAAAAGGTCGGGTAGTAATACTAGGCATTCTCCTTCATTTATTGCCGAAATTAAGATGCATGGAGCAGTACTTCCACTCCCCAAAATGTCTTAATGGCGTGGTGTTCACTGAAACACTACGACAATAACTTACACCTTATGGCTTCGATAGCAGTTTTCATTTCAGACCTATACCACGTTTTCATTTAAAAGAAAAATTCCTTGCTACATTTACTCCCCATTTTCACCATAACACATCATACATTACATCACCGAGAGTGCATCCCTGTACGAGTAATAGGCCGTGGAGGCCCATAGGGTTGTGAGACGTAGAGGCTCCCACACTCTCCCTAGACAATCGGCTCACAGATGGCAGTGAGGTTGTCAGCCTTACGCGTCGCCCGCTCTTTACCCCCAGGAAGATTCCAGGTACTCATTTCTGTTAGAGGAGACTCACTTACGTAAGAACTTCGAGCCACCAGCTCTACATTCACATGCACTCCCCTGTATATCGGTACTGAACAGACTGGTGTAAACTGTAAAACCCTAAACTGCAGTCAAGAGGGAACAAACAAAATTTGAATGTCGATAAGGTTCGCCATATTTCGTGGTAGTCTTTTATTTATATTATCTGCTTTCCACGAGGGAATGTTTTGGTCATACTTTGATGTATGCCACGTCAACTTCTTTATAAATTCCTACTTATCCACCATTAATTATCGTCCTATGCCTCACTGAAATCTAACACCCTCTACGTTCGAAACCACTACTTGTAAATTACATGAATATCAATTTAATGCTTTGGGTTCCTGGCCAAATTGCGAGACCAGAACATTCAAGGACATCATGATAATGCCACTGAAACCAAAAGGTTAAAAATTACAAGAATGTGAGAGTCTCTCCTGGTATGATGTTCATACAGATTTTCATGAAAATTATGTGGTTGCATGGTATTAATAGGAGAGTCACACGTACGCAGTTCGTCCTTCGTTACAATAAAACTGCTAGTGTGACACCACAAATTTCTGACTTAAAAAAAGTGAAGAAATAACATTTCGGTCATTATGGATCTATACAGCTCACACTAATATATCGGCTTTTCTGCCTAATCTGAAATAAACATCTCTATAATTACTACAACAGTCTTTACACTATAGTAATATATAATATAATATTGTTCATAAATAAACTGTAAAATCAAATAAGCATTAACTGCAGGTGTTGTGTCGCTCAGGATCCAAAATAAAGCGTGCATTTAAATTAATCACTATATAAAATGCAAAAATTTAGCTTGTTTCTTGTAGAAGAATTAGGAAATTAGAGAAATTTGAATGGTTATATTGATTGATCTGCAATATTAATTATACCAGAGAATATTTTCAAAATAAGCTATTCCCCGTTTTCTTCAATTACAATATTCATGATTGCTATTTTGTGTTCTTTTAAATTCTATCGTTCTGATAATACAGGTGAGCCAAAATTTATTGTCTGGTTAGCAAATTGTGCACTAAAATACATTATATATTTTATTATTACTCATTTAATTTACAAAAAAAAAAAAACACATGTACGAAATGAGATCTTCCAGGTTCAATACACTATTCATAAGGCTGCAATACGATTCCAAATCCGAGCATATCTGGCGATACGGAAGAATATTTCAACTTTAATGACATCTGGGCCACAGTGTGTTTTTAAACAGTAAACGTATACAACGGGGAACGGCTCTACAGCCCTATGTTGGGGCCAGGCCTCTTCTGCAGTTTCCTAAGCTTTTCTTTTACACAATCAGTAGGACTCTTAGGTAGGCCGCACACCGTCATGCGTCAAGATATATAACAGTCAAGACACGATGTCTGCGACATGACGCAAAGAAAGGAGCACAGTTGAAATGAATGAGATTATGAAAACCGCCGCACACCAGTCTGAGTCATGATACTGACGTCGCAGACATCTTGTCTTGACTGCTTCATGTCTTGATACATGGCGGTGTGTGACCTACCTTAGACGAGTGATCAGTCAATTGCAACGCCGCTGGCTACACGCAGGACGATACAAACACAGAATAAACGCACACACAAACATCATGCATTGAGTGGGATTCGAACCCGCGATCACCGCTTTCGAGCGAACGAAGACAGTTCATGCCTCAGACGGCGCGGCCACTGTGATCGGCACACAACGAAGAATACGTGATTTTTAATTAACATTAAAAATATTTTGCATAAATTAATTTAATTTTTTTTCCTTTGGCACTACAGCCCTAGTGGGCCTAGGCCTACCTCCATGAACTTCTCCATTCACTTCGGTTTTTCTAGATCTTACACATTCAGTAGGACTCCTTGGGCGGGTGATCAGTTGGTCGCAAGGCCTCTACCTGTACACAAACACAAAAAAACGCACAAACACAAAAAAACGCACAAACACACAAACTAAACATCCATACCCTGAGTGGGATTTGAAATCACGATCCCGGTTTCCAACGGAGCGAAGACTGTACATGCCTTAGACCGCTCGTCTACCGTGACCGGCCAATTTAAACTTTAGTCTACATAAATCTCAGCAACTTCCGAAATATTCTTAAAGTAAACACCGATTTACCAGCAATAATCAAGAATGTAAGTAGCTTTAATTAGGTAAAATTTGCTTTGCAATAGGTCAAACGCCGGTCACGGTAGCCGAGAGGTCTAAGGCATGTACTGTCTTCGCTCGCTTGGGAACCGGGATCGTGGGTTCGAATCCCACTAAAGGCATGAATGTTTAGTTCGTGTGTGTGCATTTTTTTGTGTTTGTGTACAAGTAGAGGCCTTGCGACGAGCTGATCACCCGCCCAAGGAGTCCTACCGAATATGTAAGATCTAGAAAAACCGAGGTGAACGGAGAAGTTCATGGAGGTAGGCCTAGGCCCACTGGGTCTGTAGTGCCAAAAAAAAAATCAAGTCAAAAAGTTTGTGACGATAGTAAAAAAAAAGGGTGAATTTGTCCCTGTGTTTAATTAATTAAGCACTACGCAATGAATGTGTATGGGGGAGTGGATGTATATATCTACATTTTCTTGACCTCGGCACTAGGTAGAGGTGAGTGGTCAGCTTCAGGCCTCTGCCGCTTTACCCCCGCTACTCATTGGATAGTAAGTTGGGTGAACCCCAGAGTCGGTCTGAACTAGTCTGAAAGAAGTGGAGAAGAGATAATTCTTGACCCTACCGTAACTCGAACTCCGACCGCTCTGTTGTCCAGTCCGTAGCCAGTCACTATATCGACTGAGCTATCCCGGCTCCTGTGACGATGGTGCATTAATAAAAATATTATATTTGTGGACATTACCCATCGTCCTATTTATATTTCAAAATACAGCACTTCAGAGACTTGATTCTGTCTCCGTCTTCAGGTAAAACCTACTCATTTGGGCCCAATCGTTAGGGCTAGTCTCTATCTCGAGTTTCCGAAACGTTGCGTCTTTAGATATAAACAGGGGGCTAGATAATGTCCAGAAACACAATAATTGCTTTACATAATCTGATGTTATTCCTCTGTATTACACATTTACGTAATACCACACACAATTAAATTTATGGTTCGATAAATACACAAGACTGACCATTTGATGTCGACTTCCGATCCTCTGGCCTTCTTTCCTGAATTCCAGCATCACTTCCTACGCCTCACAACTGTAGCATATGGGGCGTACAGAACAGTTTCCACAGCGCTGGTGCCAAGCTCTGGCGTCACGGATACCACCGTAATTAAAACAATCTCAGTATATAAAAGGAAGAGCGGCTGGGCAAACAATACCATTCACACCTCCTCATCTCCGAGGCATCATTACAAAGCTGATTCTCACCCAACAATGCAGGGCCTTCAGGTAAGTCTTCGTATAACATTATCACTCGCTTTAAGTACTTTGTTAGAAGCCGGTACAGCGCTTGATACGGGCTGGATGGCTCAGGTGTCGGAGTTCGAGCCTCTGTAGGGTCAAGAATTTGCTTTTCTCTAATTTGTAAAGACCGGCTCTGGGTTCCACCCAGCCTTCTATTCAATGGGTAACGGGGACTCTTTCCCGGGGATAAGGTGATCGGAGCTTGAAGCTGACCACCTCCAACTAGTGCCGAGGTCAAGAAAAATGTTGATCTATACATCAAATCACATATATTCCTTCATGGAATAGCGCTTAATTAGTTAAACATATGGAAATTTTATGACAATTATATTAGTTGTGACCAAGAAATAAATAACAGTTAAATACATATGCAGTAATAATGGAAAACGACTCAGAATAATTCTTGTAATGTATTTAACACCTGCACGAGACCTGAGTCAGTGTGGTCACAGAGTGTGGACTCAATCAGGCTTCCATTTGAGGATGGACAAAGGGATTAGTATCCCCTCCACAGCTTGCAGACCGGATCTGGGCACAGGTCGTCCTTTTCCCGGGAGTAAATCGGCCTGGGCGTGAAACTAACAACTATTTTCTATCTAGCGCCGAGATTCAGAATGACTGGAACTACGCTTTCGGCTAATGTGAAAATTTTGGCTTAAAGAGGTAGTTTCGCCCTACTCATGCACAGAGGACTATAATTTTTCGAAAGCACATTGCGACAAATCTCTCCCCCAAAATAAGGTCATTACCACACGGCCCTGTGAACTGTGAAGTAACCCGCACACTTTCATATCGTTGCATGAACAAGACAGTTGAATAAATATTCTCTAAATTTCATGTGGCCTCAGACATATATGCCATGACTTCAGTAAGACTAAGGCTGGGGTCACACGAGCGCACGAAGTACGTCCGTTGCAAGGAACGTACTTTATGACGGACGTTGCTGAGGACACCACACAGTTGCAAAATGCGGTGCGTAGTTTTTTGTCTGCAATGAAGCCAGAAGAAACCGTAGCATTCGCCTCTCTTGTTTATTTCTACAATGGATGTCACGGCGTGAGTTACAACGGACGCATTTTGTACGCTCTTGTGGCCCCAGCCTAAACAGTCATTCTAGAATACAACAGTGTCTCTGAAAGTCAGATTTAAGGACAATTCAGTAACCAATTCTGCAGGAGGGCCATTTTAACCAGATATTAAGCAGGAAGGACATGAGTGTAACCAAAACATTGACACTTCGTAAAAGTTCCAAAGTCCAAGGCTACTTGCGCTACATTCATGAAATGCACTCCCTTAGCCGTCACCGACAAAACTAAATTGTCGCAGTCCGGGAACACACAGTCTAAATGGCGGACATTATCAGTTATTGAAGGTATAGCCAGTGTGCATCAGCTTGCGAAAATTTGTCACTAATCCCCTCTTCAGTTTACTGATTGCCATTACATTCACAGAAATACATTAATTAATTTTTACGTTTAATAATATCGGGGTTTCCCCGGATCGAACCAGGGACCTTTAAAAACTAGGCTACTCTACTTTCTGACTGGTTAGCTAAGTAACTACAGGAGCAGAATATTTTAAAGGCTCACAGTAGCTCAGAGGGCCATGAAATTTTGTGTTTTTGTAACCAGAAATTAATTTCTGAGTTCAAAAGCCCGTCACAGAAGCTTATCTTGAGCCAGATTATTCCACTCCAAATCAACAATGATTAATTTTACTTTGAAGGTATCAGAAAATATTTCCTATATTGGACTTAATTAATTCTTCCTAAGTAAAATTTGATGTTTTCACGGCGGTGGCTATGAAGAATGTCGTCTTCTGGGATGTGGCGCCGTGTAGATATTTTATTAACTGACGTTTCGGAGGAACGTATCGTCTCCATTTTCAGGGCAGACATACATCTGCTCACGCTGGTTCATTGCTCGCGGATTTCTTATACCCTGAAAATTGAGGCAATACATTCCTCCGAAACGTCGGTTAACATAATATCTACACGACACGACATCCCAGAAGACGGTATTCTTAAATTCTTCGTAAGTTGGTAATGGTGGATAAGTGTTGCAGACGGCATAACTAAAAGCCGGAAAAGCTTGGGTCAAGGTTGATATCTTTAATAATGATTTGCAGGTTGTTGTTTGCATCGTGGTAGCCTGTGTCGCCACTGTGATTGCATACCCCGGGTACTATGGACATGGCGGATACGAACATCTATCCGCTGGTGTTAAGGAAGAGGTCCAAAATGTAAGTGTTAACGGACGGATACTGGTCAAGCCAAAATCAACTTGCTTACGTCATAAAATAAACAAGTCTGTTCTCGAGTATCTCATAACTTATGTCCTATTGAAAAACTTATACCAGTGAAATGTTAAAGTTCTGGTCTGTTTGCCAACACTTACCCCTTAGTGTGACGCACGTGTTTGTTCTAGGCGCACCCCAAGTATAGGTTTGAGTACGCCGTGTATGACCCTCACAGTGGTGACGTGAAGAACCAATGGGAAACCAGGGACGGCGACTTCGTGAAGGGGTCCTACAGCCTCAAGGAATCTGATGGCTCCACCCGCGTCGTGGAGTACACCGCCGACAAGCACAACGGCTTCATCGCGGTAGTCAAGAAGGCCGGAGGCCACACCAAACCCGAGATCACCTACCATGGTGCCAAGTCTCCTTACTAGTTCACTTCAAAATTACAATATTTTGTTCTCACATTATTTATTGAATTATATATATATATTGGTTAAATAAAGACTGAAGAACGAACTCCATTGAGCAGTCAATTTCTTGAGACACTAACAGTTCCTCAGCTGGCAAAGAATCAGAACATTTTATGAAACGCAAATATTATTACAGTTCTCCCTAGAGCACAGCATTGGTCTCTATCACAATTCAGATGAATCCAGTCAACACCCTCGCATCCTATTTCTTTCAAGTTCTATTTTCATATTATCCTCCCTTCTGCTATCCTCCAACGAACATACTGCGAGATGAAGAAAGCAGTCTTCTGGGATGTGGCACCGTGTAGATGTTGTGTTAACCGGCGTTTCGGAGGAACTTATCGCCTCAATCTTCAAGGTAGAAGGAAAAATAGGAAATCCTCAAGCGAAGAGACAGTGAGAACCGGTGCAAGTATGCAAGTCACTGTCTCTTCGCTTGAGGATTTCCTATTTTTCCTTCTACCCTGAAGATGGAGTCGATACGTTCCTCCGAAACACCTTTTAACACCACATCTACACGGTGCCACATCCCAGAAGACTGTTTTCTTCATAGTCACCGCCGTGAAAACCTCAATTCTTACATACTGCGAGATGACTACTGAAACCAGCACATGTTTATAATGCAATATCAGAATATCTCACCGTTGGCACAGTTAAATGAGGCTCGGTGTGTTCCCAATGGAACAATGCGGAGATCGTGTCGGCTAGTTCTGTAACTTCTTGTCTCGCTTTATCTTCGTTGTGGGATAGTACACCCCGGGCTCCCAAATAATCTCTTCTCGTGATGTTACATGAAGTCTCCTGCATGAAATACAGATCTAATTCAATTGTCTTTGCGGTCCACTGGTCACTGAAAGAAAGTTGCAGTGAAGCCTTCATGGCAAGTCTTTTGAAAAAAATTACAAGGTTACTTGTTTTTCAATTTACCTAGAGATCAACTCATATGATAACGCATCTCACATATGCACAAATGTTTCAGGTATTTACCGGATTGTATGTCTCAAAAGGATAACATTTTCGTCAGAAATTCAGTGCGAATGCTCCTGATCTACATCTCAATTTAAGCAGACGTTTCGTGTCCACCGTATTTACTAACTCTCTCATCCAGTTTGATGCTTAACAGCCCGTGTAGGTTTTACAAAGATTTTAGTTTACCTAAATGTCAAATACACACCTTAAGTTCCAACTTTTTCTAGGAAACCGCAAGTTCGGTCACGTTGTTCTGATATTTTGATATATTTTGTGTTTTTGCGTATTTATTTACAACCATGACGGACAAGAGACTGAACGTACAAGAGAACATTCCCCATTCAAAATATTTGTAGGGCCCACTCACCAAAGTAAGAAATGTAGAGCTCACAATGTTTTCTTATATTTGGTGTGTCCTTAGCCGTCATTGTCCGAACGCTCAATTCTGAGAAATATATCAATACCATCCATACGTCTTGAAACCTCGGTTTAAAATAGACACAAATATTAATGTTATGCCTTTTTGTTCAATTCCTTATTATATTTAATTTAAATTAATTACAGGAGAACATACTGGCCTGAGAGATATTTTTAGCGACAATATGGAGTACCACAATATTTCTGATGGTCTAAAATATCATTTTTTCCCCTTGGCACTACAGCCTCAGTGGGCCTAGGCCTACTACCTCCATGAACTCCGTTAACTTCGGTTTTTCTAGATCTTACATATTCGGTAGGACTCCTTGGGCGGGTGAGCAGCTCGCCGCAAGGCCTCTACCTGTAGACAAACACAGAAAAACGCACACAAACATCCATGTCCTGAGTGGGATTCGAACCCACCATCCCGGCTTCCGAGCGAGCGAAGACAGTGCATGCCTTAGACTGCTCGGCTACCGTGACCGACAAAATATCATTTTAGTCGGCTGTTAATCATACGTGGTGTGAACGATGTTAAGCCGGCTGCAACACGTAAAGTAGAGACACAAATACTTGTGAGGCCAAATTTGCTGAGAAGACAACTTTCAGAACCATCGCTGTAAAAACCTAAAATCATACATAGATCTGTTGATGTTAAAAGTATTATTTTAAAGTTGAAAAATAAAAACCGGCAAAATTGGTCCAAGAAAAGACTCGAAACCTTACGTTGAGTGGTACACAAATCTGTTATTTCTGTTTCCAGTACGGAATAAGAAATTGGTGGAAATAACCTCTTGTTGTACTTGTTTACAGTAAATATCTGTTGGGTATTGTCATTATTGATTTCAGCGCAAGACATAAATTACTAGTCATACATTGCGTACTACTCACTCCGTCAGCAGAGCCCCTCTTAAGGAGCTAACAGTACTTCAGCTGGTCAAGAAATTCCTGAATATTTAAGGAACCAGAAAGTCCATTAGCTTACGAGTATGAAAACGCCTGTCTCGGGTTCCTATCTTAAAATTAAATTCGCTTATTGGGGGGTGGAGTCCAACTGGGTCCACTCGGCACGGCGCCCACTGATTGACCTATTGTAGCCTGCCCCGGGTGATTATGTTGGAGAATTTGGTTGAATGAAGATTGGCAGGGGAAACCGAAGTACTCAGTGAAAACCCGTCCCAACACCACTAAGTCCACCACAAAGCCACTTGACCAGACCCGGGATCGAACCCGGGCCGCCGCGGTGGGAAGCCAGCGACTAACTGCTTGAGCTATGGCGCGGCATATTCCTATTTTTAGCCAGATGAATTCAGACAAAACGTTCATATCTTGTTCCTTTTAGATTTTTTTCAATATTATCCTTCCATCTATATCTAGAATTTTAACCTTACCTTTTTCTTCAGATATTTTAAAGAGGATGGTATGTCAGTTGTTGGTGTCACCCTTGCTTTCGTCGGAAGACAGAAGTGGTAATTTACGCCACCTATCTGTTGACTTCAACGACGCCTAGAAAAATATTAGAAGATACATAATTAGAATAGCAGACCTGAGTTTGATACATCCACATAAATACTTAGCCGATCACGGTAGCCTAGCGGTCTAAGGCATGTACTATCTTCGCTCGCTTGGAAACCGGGATCGTGGGTTCGAATCCCACTCAGAGTATGGATGTTTAGGTTGTGTGTGTGCGTTTTTCTGTGTTTGTGTACAGGTAGAGGCCTTGCGACGAGCTGATCACCCGCCCAAGGAGTCCTACTGAACGTATAAGATCTAAAAAAACCGAAATGAACGGAGAAGTTCATGGAGGTAGGCCTAGGCCCACTGGGGCTGTAGTACCAAGGAAAAAAAAAACATAAGTAGTTATGCTAATTAAAGAAATGTGTTTTAATGAAATCCATATTGAAGTCCGCAAAATTAGACGTCTCTCTCTTACGTCGGTATTGCAATGAGTAAACTTACTCGTATATAAATTGCCTGATGATGGTCTTCTAAGACCGAAATAAAAAGTCTAATTGTAAAACATTAAAAGCGAGTATATTCGTTGTGTGACGGTTAACCCAATTTATATATATGCTTTATGTATTTCGTTCAAATTAGTCTCAAACATGAAAATTCTCTAACCATATTTTTTTCTTCACTCTAGATAAGAAATATGAAGAATAAAGATGAATTTTTATATGCTGGCAATTTTTGTTCTTCAGGGTGGCATGATTTATTATTTATTGTTATGTCTGTCGTTGTGGGTTTTCTACATATTTCCATTTCTATTTGTCCGTGTCTATTAAATATATTTAAGTCCAGGTAAGTTAAATTTTTTAACCACTTTAAAAGTTGTAATACCAGGAAGGCTGCTGTGATTGTGAAAATTTGAATATTGTGTACATTGTGTATTCCAGGCATTATGTGTGTATGTAATTTTGCAATCAGAACACCTATTGTGATGGTAGTTTCCGAATAAGTATTGACGTTCCTTCTGAAGATTAAGTGTGTATGTGTGTGTATGTGTGCGCGTGCCTCTCTCTCTCTCTTTCAAGTCTCAATTCTGAGACAGTAAAATATGGTCGCGAGTCCCAAGGGACTCTGACCCGAGAAAGACTGCGCTGGCAAGGGCCAGCAGCATATACAAAAGACAGACCCGTCCTCTCGTCAGAGAAGGCGCCCCACAGAAACAAGACCGTAACTGTCAAACGATAATAATTAATATCTGGTCATGAGCCCCAACTGAGGCTCGATACCAAGACTGACTGACCGTCAGTCGCAATGTGACTCTGACTCTGACTCTGACTCTGACCCTGACTATTCATAGTCAGTTCCGAGTTAGCCAGCAGTCAGTTCTGAGTTCTCAATCTAGCCAGCGGAGAATAACGAGTTAGCCAGCAGTTGTATTCTGGCATTTGCAGTGTAGTATTTGTGATACTGCCGATGGCAGTAATTGTCAGATTGTAATTTGTGTGATTGTAAGAGCGAATGCGCAATAAATTTGCTATATCAAATAAGGCGTGAAGTTATTTGTCGCGTGACACACCCAACACGTGACAATATCATTAGGATGAAGGAATGAAGGGAGATGCGATGCGCTAGACATGTAGCCATTATGGGGGAGATAAATTAGTAAAAATTATAGCCAGCGTAAAGGAAAGGAGCCATTTGGGAGAAGTGGTCTTATGTGAGAACATTATAATGAACTGAATCAGAAATACTGGTTGAAGGTTGCTCTGGGTAAGGCCCAGTAGTGCTCTCTACTGCACATAGTATAAATGGTCGTGAATTTCGTCACTAGTTGAAAGAATAATATTTTCACATGCTTCATGTAGTTACTTACTTACAAGGTGGAACCTAATATTCGGAGTTACATTCTGTATCGCCGGTAGAGAAAACAGAGTAGGCACAAACGTTCTTGCGGCTCAGAACAGCTTAGGACTGTTGCTATTTTCATTCTCTCCAAGCCTATCAGATGGATCAATATGTACCTTTAAAAATCTTTTAATATAATATTAATTAAACACAAATTTTCTATACAAAATCTAAATAATTTTAACGTTGAAGAAAACGGTTTTCTGGGATTTCTTCTATTTTCTTCGACCCTGAAGATGGAGGCGATACGTTCATCTGAAACGTCGGTTAACACAATATCTACAAGGCGCCACATCTTAGAAGACTACTTTCTTCATAGTCACCGCCGTGAAAACCACAAATCTTATATAATTTTAACGTTGCCTCGGAAAATAAGACAGAAACATTAAAATATGACAACAGTAAACAATTGCGATACAGTGGAGTAAGAGTGGCGACCAGTGCGCAGCAATATACTATGTGGAAGAGTCCCTTTCAGAAAGCTATTGGTCACTCAGCTAGTCAAGAAATTCTACGCTATTTACAGAATAAGAAATTTTATTTCTGTGTTTACAAGTGCTCTCAACTTGGCCCTAAGTTGAACTTGCATCTAAGCCACACAATATCCTTTGTCTTGTGCATCCATTTAACGTTCTCCTATACAAGATAATTTCTCTCCGAAGTGGCTTCTTCTCTTCAGTTTTCCGATTAACAATTTTTAAGCATTTATCTCCAATGAGCAATATTACCTCGTCCTTCTTCTCTTGATTATCCTAATAATATTTTGTTTTCATTCATCCGTGGCTCTACAGCCCTTTGTTGAGCCCTGGCCTCTTTTTCAGTTTCGTAACACAGAGAGTAGGAACCCCTGGAAGAGCGATCAGCCCGTCGCAAGGCCTCTACCTACACAGGACAACACAAATATATAATAAACGCACACATAGGCTCCCATACCTTGAGTGGGATCCGAACCCACGATTTCAGCTATCGAGCGAGAGAAGACACTTCATGCCCTAGACCGCGAGGCCACTGTGTTTGACCCTAATAATATTACTAAAATAATTAAAGACGCCGTTTATTTTGGCAAGATAAATTGCATAAGGAGGAAACTAATTTCTGCTTCTCGTATTGTGTCCGTTATAAAGAGAAACCCATTTTACTGTAGAAATATAAGAATATGAAAAATTCCACGGTCTAACATTTCATAATCTATATAATTATATTCTTTTTACTCTCCAATAAAAACAATGGGTATCACTATTTGTGTGTGTCTGACTTGTTACGTAAGCTTGTTCATGGTTCGATGATCCGAAGCAACCAAACGTTATGTACCCCTTCCTGCATTCCACCACAGGTATCAATTAGCGTTTCCTATACGAAAGCCCTACAAACACAAACACATATACTCACGTGTCACTCTGTCCTGTACCTGTGCAGCAGTATATAAGACCATAGTAATGAGCACTTAAGTAGCATTCGCAGTTTAATTTTTCCAGTGCATAGGTCTTCAGAAAAAGAAACGTATTTTAAATTTAAAATGTACGATTTTCAGGTAGGAGTTCTCACTGATAACTTTAGGGCATTGTTTGCAGAACCGTATAATCATGTGATGTTACATACTCGTTATGCAACCAGAGTTATAACAAAGGTTCAAAATGTAGCAGGGATAAAATTAATTATATATATAAATACTCTTATAATTTTCATTTTCAATGCTTATAGCAGCATATTGAAGCAACACGTGCCATTGCAATTGTAAAGTACCCAGTTTAGCTACTCGGAGCATGGTTCCTTTTGAGGAACTGAAGTTGAACTGGTGAACAAATTTCTTGTCATTTATGCACAGTGCAGAGGAACACAGTTTGTGTGTATCACCAACGTTAATAGGTTTATAAAACTTGAAGGATTATATAATGGGGATTTTAGCATGCATGAGAGAAATGAGCAAGGCTCTCAAAATTTTGAGTCAGAGAACCTGAAAGGAAGATGCTTTTTGAAGGGTTTTGTTTTAGACGGGACGATAATATTAGAATAGATCTTAAAGAAATTTTATCTGTTGATGCGGAGTAGATTCACCCAGTTTAGAATACCAGTTGTGGTCTATTGTGGGTATGGTAATTTACTTCCGGGTTATATAAAAGGCGGAAAGCTTTTTCTCTAGTTCAAAGACTGTTAGTTCCTTAAGGACGATTGTGACCTATGGTATTAATTCAGTACTTCACTTATTCACGTGCTTAATCAACAGTAAAAAAAATATATAAAGTAAGCATTAACAAAGGAAGGAAAGAAATAAAAACACATAAACAGAAAAAAAACTGCCGAAACGTGGAAATTTCTGTCATTGAAACAGCAATTAAAATCGGGCGAGAAAAAATATATATGCGTATATTCACATGGAATAAAATTAATATTTCAATACGTAAGAATATATCTGCTTAATAGATGGTTAAGAGAAACAGTTATTAGTAAACATAATACTATTTTACTGTAAAAAATTATGAGAATATAAAAATATACTATTCGGTTACTCATGTTACATTCTTCTTGAAGGTTGTTGACCCACGAAGGACGCTAGAAGTCTGCTCCCTTAGCTTGTTCAGGCAAGAGAATGAGACCTCTATGACAACGCATCACTGTGTCTGCAGCGTCTGCAGGTACAGGAAACAGTTATTTCGAATGGTGAATGTGTTTCAGGTACTCTCCGTCGTTGCTGTGACTGCGCTGGCCGCAGCTGTTACTGCCTATCCAGGGTACGCTCACCACGGATTCTACCCATCAGCTCTCGCGCACGGACATGAGGACTATCACGTGAGTATTTTCGTGTTTTATGGAGCCTACAGCTTTGTAAGTTGTGTTACCAGAAATTGCTGTCCTGTCCTTGTATACGTGTCGGGTACGTGTTTAGAGACACAAAGCAACAAACTGATGCGAACGTGTTTAACTGCATGAAAATTAAAAGTCCCGAGAAAAAAATAGACGGTTTGAACACACTGCCAGTGAAATTGCTGAAGCTATAAATCGTAAATATTTCGAGACCTTCAACTGGTGCAATAGGAATATATCTCTACAATTTTCATTTCTTTACGTAAGAGAAAGTCTGCGATGTCATACAGGTGACACAACGACAATACAGGCTTGTGCTGGACGCGCGTGCTTGTTGGAAATTTAGTCTCTAACGATACTGGACGGCCCCCATTATCCATCAACGCCTTCCTTAAGAGAAAATATTTCTTGAAAGTGAGGTTAGGTATGAAGAATACCGTCATCTGGAACGTGGCGTGAACTGGTTCATTGCTCGCGGATTATTTATACCTTAAAGATAGAGGTGATACGTTCTTCCGAAACGTCGGTTAATAAAATATCTACACGGCGCCACATCCAAGAAAACGGCGTTCTTCATAATCACCGCCATGAAAACCTCAAATATTATGGGGTAAGCCATAGTGGAAATGAAACAAATAACTGGGAATAAAACTGTATAATTCATAACTTTTAGGTTTTGCTGGTTTCACAATAGAGATTGAGCATTTGAAAGAAGGTAGATGACATTTGTTCTTTGAACATTTGGAATTGTGGAAACATATTTAGATTTTAGAGCGCCAGTTCGTGAGGAACATTGCTTCGTGCACTGACGTCTCTGATGTAAGGAGACCATATTTGGAAAAGAGTAATTAAACATAATTTGTTACCGAAAGGTAGCACGTGGAAGTTGAGATGTCAGAGACAGGATACATCTAAAGCTCTTTAATACGAGTAGTTTAAGGAGGAACTGCGAGAAATAAGTATATACTGAACTATGTAAAACAAGTGTCACGTAACTTCAAACAAGGCCAAGAGTAACCTTGAATGCGCAGAAGAAAAATTTTAAAGAAGGGGGTGGATTCGTGGGTGTTAGAAGTGACAGGCGGCCAGTTAACAAGGTTAACAAGTAACAAGGTTACTCTTGGCCTTGTTCGAAGTTACTTGACACTTGCTTTACAAAGGAAGACAGAAGAGGAATAGAACGGTGTAAAATGGAACTTTGGGAAGTGAACCGAGTTAGGGACTACAATTTACATGGAACTTGTTCCATAAGTATATACAGGCAGGATAGAGCAACATGCTCAGGCTTGAAGTATGAAGCATTGGAGAACAAGGGAATTAAAAATATCCATGCAGAAATACGTATTATGGGTACGGTCCCTGCATTGCTCGGAAGAGACCGAGAAAACTCTCAGCAACCCTAGTCAGCACAGTCGGTCTCCCACCAGAAACTTTAACACAGAATAACTCAAAGTCTAGGGAAGAAATCCTAACCACTCGATTGCAAAGCTCTGTAAACCTGAAGACATTTCGATATTCCAAAAATTAAGACAATTTGTTGTGTAGCGGAATGTCTATTGTTGCAAAAAAAAAGTGGCTTAAATTGATTTCGGCACGATTTTGATTGTGGTGGGCCGATGGACTAGGACATACATAGGAAAGTACTTTAAATGAAGGAAATTTGTTAGTAGACAGAATTACACGAACGACGTAAATGAAAGTGGTGATATTTCAATATCCGTGTCACAATAAACCTTGTAATATTACGGTGTGTCCTATTGTCATACTGTTAATATTAGCTTCATGTTTGAAAAGTAAGTATTGTAGAAAATTTATGTAACAAAATATTACCTTATGGAAATTTATAACATTGTAAAATGCATGAGTGTGACTATTGAGAGATTTTGGATTGATGATCGAATTTATTAGGCTCCTTGATACAGGGCTTGACTACACTTTACAATTCACTATTACACTTGCACTTCATACACTAGCGTGAACAGTCACGTCTTCACTAGCAGTTTCTTCGTAGCGATTTCCAACGATGGACGTTCCTCTTCTCCAGGTTCCCGAAATGTCCCCGGCCTCAACTACCAGCTTCTAACAACAAAAGCTCAGAACGACTGAACTTCAGAAATGCTCTAACTGGCTGACTAATCCAGTCACTCACCAACCAACTAAATCAAATCAACTGACTTAACCGACTAACACTGAGTTACCTCACTCCTCAATAATTGTCCTGTATATAATATTGCTGCACGGACAACACAGAAAACACAGTTCCTATCTTTCTGTTTGCCTAGTAACGGACGTTGCTTATTTGTTTGTTTCGTGGTCGTTGCCTCGCGACAGTTCTACATGTCACAATATGTTCAAAAATTGCCCCATCTAGCAGCTACTTAACCGCTGAGTCTCCACAAATAACTTATTTCATGGTGTTCAATTAAATCAAGTATTAAAAGAGACTTTAACTATTTCTGAACATGGCGAATGGGACAAAGTTTAGTTTAGCATCGAAGAAATCATAAGACTGAAAACCTGAAGGGAAATCATCACTTGGATAAATGAGGAAACACAATTAATATGGACCTCAAAGAAATAGGCCAGCNAGGGGGGGGGGGGGGGGGGGGGGTATGCGCAGGATTCTTCTGGCTCAAGATTGGTTCTAGCGCTGAGGTATTGTGAGCATGGTATTGAAACTTCGAATTCCATGAAGTGAGGACATTTTCTTGACTATCTGCGTGACTATTAGCTTCTTCAGAAAGACTCTAATTAATGGCAATGGTTATTTAATGAGGCTATGCAATGGTTAATTATTTGCCCTCTTTACGTAAGTAAGAAGAGTGCTAAACTCATACCGCTGAGTTGCTGGAGAAGATATTTTTAATGTAGAAATTAACATAACAAGAATGAGAAATTATTATATAGAAAGATAATGAGCTGCAGAAGCAAAACACTTATTCTTACTGAAGAGCAATATTAAGATAGATCCAGGCTCAAATACAAAGGTAAGATGAGGATAAATGATTAATTATAGATAGAAAAGAAAATGTTAAAAACAGTGCTAACGTGAAAAAGGTTGTATACCACAACAACCGGGTGTTAAATTATTCACAGTCTGGCACAGTTCTGTAAATAATTTCAGAAAAAATATTATTATTATATTATATATTTAATATTTGAAATTTTTCACCATTTTATACTACTTTATATTAATGATTGTCCTTCTAGTCACTACAACATTAATTGTATTCATTGTAAATATATATATATATATACATTTTACCTTTCTCACTTTTACTTAATAACTGTGGCTTATGTCAACTGTACGGGTTGGATGACCAAGAGGTCGGAGTTCGAGTCCAAGTGGGGGCAAGAATTTTCACTTCTTCACCTCGTACAGACCGGTTCTGGGGTACACCCTGGCCTCCTATCCAATGGGTACCGGAGGCCCTTTCTCCGGGGGTAATGCAGCCGGGGCGTGAAGGTGAACACTCACCTCCAACTAGTGTCGAGGTCAACAAAAGCTTGGTCTATACTTCCAGTCCCTCATACACCTTCGTTGAGTATTACTTAATTAGTAAAGCACAGGGACAACCTTACCTTTATTATCTTACGTTAATTGAATTATTGTTATTGATATTATTAGTTTATTCAAATTATATAAATTCCCTTCTTTCATATATTGTTTGTGCTTGTGCTTTCTTTTTCTTACTCGTGTTCACTTTGTAGTTGGCCTTTGGGCTGTGATAATGAGAACTGAGCTGAACTGAATTATTTTAACCAGGCTCCAGCACACTACAAGTTCAACTACGCAGTGCACGACCCCCATACCGGTGACGTCAAGAACCAATGGGAGTCCCGAGATGGTGACGTTGTGAAGGGCTCCTACAGCCTGGTTCAGCCTGACGGAGCCACCCGCACAGTCGAGTACACTGCAGACAAGCATAACGGGTTCAGCGCCATCGTTAAGACGGCAGGAGGACATACTAAACCCGAAATCACTTTCCACGGTGCTGGTGGCTTCCTATAACTCACTCTGGACTGTCACGTGTGAATACTATGAGAGAGATTTATATTGTCGGTTGTGTGCATCTTCATCAAACATATGACATGCGTTTCTGTTAACCATAAGTTACGTTTATTTATTACTGAGAGATTTGTATTGCGTGTTCTTTTCATTTTAGTGGAATAAATTTGTGCATTGCTACATTTTGATCTTCATGTCACGTTAATTATATTTGTTATCATATATTTCGTTGAAAATTAACGGCCGTGGTGATTCCTTGCGCTGACTACGCACCACCCTCTATCCGCTAACGTTGGCACTAACTTCGCCGACAAGCGGCGGTGGTCGACATAGTTCGCTTGCGGACTAAAGCCACAGAATTTTTTATATTTCGTTGAAAAATAATAAGAATATAGACAAAACACCTTCTGGCTTTTAAAATAAAATTTGTAATTTCCTATTCCTATTTTGATTCAGGAACATGATAAATTATTCTTATTGTAATCAGTATTGTTGTTCCTGCTGCAAACATTATTACAGCGTCAAATTACACAGAAAGATTATTACGAATGGTTAACAAATGAGGATTTTTAAGACGACGGTCCTGATCTCTTTCAAGGCACCTGAAATTTGCCTACAGAAATTAAGTAACATAATCAGTTACCTCAGGCAGTAAAGTTGGTAACCCATTGTATCGAACACAGTAATACCTAAATAAAATACAATGGCGTTGCTATTACATACATCTTCTTTATTACATCGTATTTATTTATTTAATAAAAAATATATTTTTTTTGCTGCTGGCGGCACTATAAAAAGTAACAAGCGAAGAACGGGATAACGCAAAGCATGAAGTGTAGTAAGGAGAGTACGTATGTTCAAATTTGAAGAGTTCTATCTTCTGTGAAATGATGTCATGAAAGACGTTTTACCCCGGAAGATAGTCCTCATAATGAACACGGCTGTCAGGATCCAAATTCTATGTAAAAAAAAATATTTTATTCTATTATCGTGAGAAGAAATATTTTTTATTCATTTGATGTAAAGAGTGTAATTTTGGTAGGAATAAACTTACATACATATACAGAATGTAAATAAATATATGTTACAACGCTCTGTGGTAGATTGATGGGGTCAATCTCATCATATGTTTTTAATATGCCAATGTTTTGAAACACTTATTTTTGGCACTAAAGGTCACAACATTTTCCGAGAGGATGTATAAGCTTTAGGGAATGTTATCGCTATTCTACATCATAAAAGTTGCTCAAAATGGCTGCCGCCGACTTCATTGCATGTTCTGCACCGCCTGGCTATGTTATACTGAACTATTTGAAAAAGATTTCCGGCATTTCCCGGATGGTTAGAGAAAGAATTCCAATGGTGTTAAGTCAGGGGGGCGAGGGGTCAGGTTATTGCGCCTCCATGTCCAGTCAATCTATTGCCAAAGGTTTCATGCAAACACTCAAGGACGACATTAGTGCAGTGTGCAGGGGAGCCATAATGCTGGAACTACATTTCATGGCGGACTTCCAAAGACACCATTTCTAGCAGCTCGGGTAAGGTCTCTTGGAGGAATGTTAGGTAAATATCACCAGTAAGTCGCAGAGGTAAGAGGTGAGGGCCAATTAGATGTCCATCGATAATCCATACCCACACATTGACTGCGAAGCGGTGTTGGTGGCTTCGGATATGCTTCGCGTTAGGATTCTCTTGAGCCCATACATGGCTAGTTCTAGAGTTGAAAATGGTGTCCTTGGTGGCTTCCCCACAGACTAGAAGAGTCTCGGTGCAGTCTGCACTTGTGTTCATGTCCGCCACAGTCCACTCACAAATGAGGAAGAGACTACTAAACAAACTGTGGGTATGGTCAGGGACTGTATCATGTAACATCTGATTCATTAGTAAATAAACAACTTGTCCTATGAATGCGACGTCTTCTGCTACTTCGGAACCCTATGGGTTGCTTGTCTACAGGCGTCCTTCTTCATATTTCAGAGGTCCTAGCGCGTAAATAAAGCGTTTCAAGACATTGGCGCATTGAAAAGGATACGATCAGATTGAACCCATCTATCTACCACAGAGCGCTGTAACGTATATATTTATTTACAATATGTATAGATATTTTTCGCTTATTGGAGGGTGTAGTCTAGCTGGGTCCACTCGGCACGGCGGCCACTGATTGGCCAATTGTACCTGCCCTGGGTGATTATGATGATGGAGAATTTGGTGGAATGAAGCTTGGTAGGGGAAACCGAAGTACTCGGAGAAAACCCGCCCCAGCGTCACTTTGTCCACTACAAATCCCACTTGACCAGACACGGGATCGAACCCGGGCTGTCTCAGTGGGAAGCCAGCGACTAACCGCTTGAGCTATGGCGCGTCCTATATGTATAGACCTTACTCCTATTATAAAATTTCAAGAGACTTCCCCGAAATTTAATGCACAGATAAAATAAAAATCACAAATTTAATAAGTGATATTCTGCATACACCGAAACGCAACAAAATTATGAACGAAGACAGTATTTACCTATATAATATTATAATTCATTATTAGCATAGTGGGAATAGCATCTGGCTACGGACTGGATAACCGAGGGGTTGGTGTTCGAGTCCCGGTAAGGTTAAGAATTTTCTCTTCTCTTCGTCGTCCAGACCGGATCTGAGGTCCACTCAACCTCCCTTCCAATAGGCACTGGGGATACTTTCACCGGGACAAAACGGCTGGGGCGTGAAGCTGACTATTCACCTCCAGTTAGTAGCGGGATCAAGAAAGTCTGGCTCTAAACTTCCACTCCCCCATACACCTTCACGGAGCAGTGCTTAATTAGTTAAGCACATATACATATTACATATATTATGTCCCTACATTTTTAGCCCTAATTTGTTGCCTTTGTTCTGGCTCTGCACGCGCCGTTGTTTCAGACCGTGCATTGAAGCCGAATGTTCACTTTCCATTTTGCACATCCACCCACAGGAAGATACAAGAACGGCAATTCGTCGCGCTCTGTATAGCCTTGAGAAATCTCCCTACGCTATGACAATTACAGTGCTAATGCAAGGTACAAAGGAGATGGTATCTCACTTATATGCACGGTCTGCTGATATCCTGTAAGTTAGGAGTTTCATGTTCCCTGTCTGTTGGACACGCTGTAATTTAATTATATTGACTATATTTTCATTGTCAATCATTCCTGGCGGCACAGTCTGCTGCGCTCAAATGTGGGCATGCTTGTAGCGTAACGGGGTTCGAGATTCCACAGGTTCGTCCAGGTCTCTTTCCCAAATAAGGAGTATAGCTCTCTGACAGTTCCCATCAACGTAGTGGATGTACTATTTAGCAATTCGTGTCTCCTATTTCTGAACTACGTGTCAGTTCCACATCAACCGTCTCGATCCCAGTATAATAACAACACTAGTAGAAATTTATGAATTATAAAATTTCTCGTTGTGTAAACCCCTAAAATTTCTACTTCGCTTTTAATAATCCCAGTACTTTTCTACATAAATTATTTTAGAGCTCTTGTAATTTGGTGTCTAGTGCTTCCAAAAGAAGACATGAGCCCGGTTTCTTTCCAGCATTTGTGCTTTCCTGAATTAGTGTTATAAAATAATTTTACTTCAGATGTTCATGGCGGCACGCGGTAGTGTAGCTTGTTGAGCACTATGCTACAAGCCGGGAGGTCGCGGGTTAAAGTCCCGATGAAGTCATTGGATTTTTTTCAATTTACCTAATCCTTCCAGCCGCACTATAGCACTGGAGTCGACCAGCCTCTAACAGAAATGAGTACCAGGAATATTCTTGGGGGTAAAGGCTGCCGGTGCGTAGAGCTGATAACCTTGCCGCCATCTATTAGCCAAATTTCTGGAAAATGTGGGAACCTCAACATCTCACAACCCTATGGGCCTCCACGGCCTGTTACAGGGATACCTTTGTTTTTTTGCTTTTTCAGATGTTCTTTTGTTTATCCACTCTTTTGTTAGGTACGATTCTTCTTACATCTTTTTCTTTCTCCTTTGCACTACAGCCCCAGTGGGCCTAGGCCTACCTCCATGAACTTCTCCGTTCACTTCGGTTTTTCTTGATCTTACACATTCGGTAGGACTCCTTGGGCGGGTGATCACCTCGTCTCAAGGCCTCTACCTGTACACAAACACAGAAAAACGCACACACACAAACTAAACATCCATGCCCTGAGTGGGATTCGAACCCACGATCCCGGTTTCCAAGCGAGCGAAGACAGTGAATGCCTTAGACCGCTCGGCTACCGTGCCCGGCCTTCTTAGATCTAGTAGCCGTATTTTATAATCTCAACCCCATACATCAGGTCTAGTATTATCACAAGGAAGCACATTTGGAAGAATTACATATACCTGAAGTTGTAAATAGGATCCGTAGGTTGGGCCCAACTGGCTATGATTTATCTGAAGACAGAGACAGAATCCAGTCTCGAAAACATTGTCTATTTTAATATAACAGGATGGTATTTTGAGATAAAACAGGGCGATAGATAATGTCCAGAATCATAATATTTGTATTACCTGAAGGTGTGCCTAATTATTGGTACACTGTCGAAGTATATTCTCCTTGAATTGTTTCAAGCAATTAAAATAAAAAGAAGAATTCATATAGTTAAAATCTTGAATCCGTGTTTTAAAGAATTAATTATATTTTGTGTTGTCTCTTTACATAAGTACAAAATTTAATAGCATATTCTTCCAGCCAGGCAGTACAATAGCGGAGAACAGCACAACAAATACAAGCTACACTATCAACAAACAGAGGAGTTCTCACTAGCCTGATGATCTGTTAGTAATATGAGAGGGACCAGTGAGTATTTCACCTCACTGAGATTTGAAAAAGTGCAATGTCTCCGAAACTCGTGCAATAGAGCTTAAAGTTAAGCGGTGTTATCAGACCGAAGTAGAATGTACGCTAGCACTGAAATCATATGACTGCTTCAAATCTTCATTAATATTGTGATCCAATTTAATTCACATAATTTACCCACCATTTCATGCCACGGTTTCATCGAATTTGTATTTGCGTTTCTTCTGTTATGACATTATGAGTAACAATAGATTATATAAATCCGAAGCAAGAGATAGAATGAGATATTATGTTACATGTGGGGCATTGTTAATTTGACATACTCGTTAACATTTAAGAATAAT